TCGCAGCTGTCTCTTCGACGGGTTTCTCGACGTAAGGCGTGGCCTGAGAGCCTATCGCGGGGCTCTTCTGGGCCGTTGGGGCCTTCGCAAATGCTTCGTCTGCGAGCGCATGAGTGATCCGTTTCGAAAGATCCTCAGTAGCCGGTTTGCTTTCCGTCACTGTTGGCTCGAATTCAAATTTGCCTCCTTGTTCATGGAAAAGTGAAAATTGGTCCAGGGTTGGGAATCTTGAAGAAAGTTCATCGCCATTGGTTGGTTTTCCGCCATCAAGCGCAGCAAATGGATCACCGGATGCTACCCTGATAGGTGAAGGGCTGGGTTTCGCGGAGTTCTGTTGTGATGAAGGCTTTGACGGCCTTCCTCGCCTCATTGGGGCAATATCTGGGATAATCTGCGTCTCTTGCATTGGCGGGGAGAATACTGCCCCAACCTTCGGCGTTTCCGTGGGTGACGGTGGGAGCTGTTGGTACCGCCTAGCTTCTGATTGAGAACGGCCAGCGTAAATCTACAACAAGTTAGTAAACGAGTCCCTTGGGTGTAAAGGACCGGGAGTTACGTACGTCTCGAATCGGTGCCTCTTTCCCCCTCATATGGCATGCTTCGCGCAGCACCTGATATATATTCGGACGCTTCTGTGGGTCCTCTCGTAACATGGTAGCTATTCGACATAAGGATTAGAGAACGAGATCGAACACAAGTCGATAGTTGACGTGTTAACATACCTATGAGCATCTTCAATCTATCTGAGAAAGGGGGGTATGCCGGATATTTAAATTTCGCATTAAGGATCGCCATCTGTCCAACTTCCTCGAACGGCGTGGTATAATAACACAATTTGTACAAAAGGACACCCAGCGCCCATATATCACTCTTCTCATCGATCGGCTGTTTTCGATAAACGTCAATCATCTCGGGACTCCGGTACTGCAAAGTCGTATGCCGCTGGACATCATCCTCAATTAACCTGCCCTCTGCAGCAGACGTAGCAGCCGGCCGTGGCGGGGCCGTCGACCCAAAATCGCACAGCTTGTAAATATACGAATTCCCATGCAACGCAATCAGGACGTTCTCGACCTTGAGATCCCGATGGAGTAATGGGGGCTTCAGATAATGCATACAAGCCACACCCTCCGCGACATCAGTGAAGATCTTCAAGATCTCCGGCTCCGTCAGCCGGTTCTGAAGGCGGGTATTCATGAAATCGATCAGCCCTCCTCCGGCACAAAACTCCATAAGCAAGAAGACCTCGTACCCACCACCCTTCAGCTGGGATGCGTGGGAATCGATATATCTCACAATGTGCCGGTGGCCCTTTAGCTTCTTCATAGTCTCGACTTCTGTCCGCATATTCGCTAGGGAGAGCTTGTCTGGCACGGCTACCCGCTTGAGCACGGCTGTTTCAACGCCATCGACGGGCTGCGGGAGCCGGACTACGTATACGTGCGCGAAACCGCCCTCGGATAGGTATTTCTCGATAACGACACGGTGGTTTCCGACCTGCACCTTCGTGCCGGGGACGAAGGTGCCGGCTGGGGGTGCAGCCATTGACATTGTTGTGAATCGACAGGCCTATCCAGGGCGTCTAGGGGAAACGGAATAGTTGGTTGTACAGGAGGGGGAGGGAGCGGGAGAGTCGGGGGGCAAGTTTGGGGTGCGGTGTGGGGAGCGGAGGTTGCCAGACAGGGCGGTGGAGGAAACGGGGGATGGGACGGAGACGACGACGGGGGCCCACGACGGGGCAGCGAGGGGAAAGCTGCACAGCACACTAGGGGAGCTGCATTGAAGAATGGTGTATAGAAGAGAAGAGAGAGACAGAGGAGAGGAATACAGCCCGTCGCTCGGGGATCTCGATCACGGCGTGGCAGCAGCTCATGCTCAGGCCGACTGATTGTTGGAAGGTCATTGATGCTCTCCCCGCCGGCCAATCAGCGCCGCCCGGGGCCCGGCGGAACATGCTCCCGGCACCCGTGACATGGCCGCCTGCCGAAGTCACACGAAGTCACTCCGATGCAAATAATGTACAGCGAGGTACCTGGCGGTACTTACGGCTGCTATGGGTGGTTGCCTCCAGCTTCAGCTCGACTGCCTTGTCTATTCTTATGCATGGGCGGATGGCTGATGATGTGGACAACTGCTGGCAAGGACACGGTCAAGCGTGTGCCCGTGAACGGGAGAAGCCGAAATAATGCATTTTCTAAAACAACAGCCAACTATCATGCGGCCACATGTGTCATGCCCAACACTGCCAAATCTATGTATGCACAGATGTCTTTGCCCGGCAACTCCCTTTGCATGCATGGTCACGGTCCCATTGGCCAAGTATATTCTATCTTATTATTACTGTATCAGTCTAAGTTAAAGGCAAGGGGCTGACCCGAAATCATAAGTCGTAGTACATTCGTAAACCAGCACTGTCCGCCAACATGCAATTCCATCACATGCCATATTCAAATGTAAGCGCTTCATCGCCTCTCCGAACGTATACTTCGTCCTCATCCATCCCCAACAGTCGCTTGCCAAACCAGTATCTCACCTGGGAATCCCACCATGTCCCACCGACAACGGCAAAGGCCGGCACTTTTCCGATGCTAGCCTGGCTCCAGCCGCGCTCAGAGCCGGAATAATCAGTCTCCAGATCCGCTGCTGACGATATCACTGTGGCCTTGGACCTGGCAATATTGATCATGTGGAGCACAGACCGCAGCACCGCAAACCCCACAAAGCTGGCTAGCACAAATCCCAAGGTTATCAAGAACGGTATTCGGTATCCATCGTCCTGGAAACGTGGGGAAAATATGAGAGATGCAACAACACCCGCTAGGTTCCCATATCCGTTAATTCCTAGGATAATGGTTCGTTTCCCCGGATTCGGGATGTTGCCCGCCAGCCAAGCCACAGTCAGCGGGCTGGGTATGAGACTCCCGCTGAGAAGTACACATAAAGAGAAGTATAGTGCGGCAGCCCTGATCGTAGAGAAGGATGACGGGGATGAGAGAAGAAGAATAAGGACAAGGCCAAGCGCTATGATCAGAAGGCCAGCTAATATCGGGACAAAGCGTCGCCGGGACTTATCGCTCCAATGGCTGAATATGTAGAGAAATATAGAAGCAAGGAGGAAAGGGGGAGCGGTGAGGAGGTTGCTGAGGGTCGGAGATGAGAGTTTGAAGGAGGATAAAACCAGCGGAAGAAAAACGGAGAAACCGGTGTAGGGTATCGCAGAAGCAACATTAAGGCCCAGAATCGGGATCATCAACGGTAAGAATAAAACGGTGGACAGAAGCTCCGACTTTGAAAGACCAGTGTCCGATGAGAAGGTGGAGGAGATATTTCGAGGACTGACAGCACTCGGTTCATCAGGTAGAAGTCGATGCCGTTGTTCGTCAGAATGGGAAATAATCAGTTCGGAAGGCTCATCTGTTTCTTGGGAGGCATCGTTCTGTTTCTGATGGCTTGGGCCGTTCCGGTCCATAAGAATACGTTTCTCTGCCCATATTCTCTCTTCTTCATTCAGAAACCAAGCGGTTCCGACACTTCGAGGGAGCCAGAAAAATCCAATAAAGGCAATAGCAAGAGTCAGTAGGCCTTCAACCAAGAAAAGTATCTGCCACGGCCTTAATCCTTCTGAAGATGTCATATTCTCTGCATCCGTCCCTTCGCTTGGTGGGAAACGAGAGAAGACGGTAAATGCAATTACTCCTCCAACGGCGCCGGCCACACCAGTGGAGCCATAAAAAAGGCCCAATCGGCGCCCAAATTCAAAACGCGTGTAAAACAGGGAAAGGTACGAGACCGCGGTCGGGTAGAAGCCAGCTATTTGTTAAGAATACCAAGGTTAGCACCGAAATCGAGCAAGTTTCAAACGCATAGGCGGTCAAAGAAATGAAATTCCAAGAACCATAAAAATAGCTCCAGGATTTAACTGGCAAGATATCAAACTAACCTTCCAAAGACCCTAACACAATCCTCAACAAAATCAGCTGCCACCTCCGCCTCACGCAAATATGCAATAGCGTACATATCCCCCACAGCGTCATCACAGTCGGCACCCATCTACTCATTCCGAACTTGCGCCCAGCCGCCGCCCCGACCGGCTGCAGAGCAACGAAGAAGACAAAGAACCATGCAACGGCGGCATTGAGATCTTCGGGTTGAAGCCCGGCGTCCCGGGTGAAATGGGCCGTTTCGGCATTGCCGATGTTGGAGCGGTCCAGGGAGTTGACGAGGAAGAGGATGCAGAGAAACGGGAGTAGGATGAAGTCGAGCTTTTGGATGGTGCGGTTGTGTATCGGAGGGACGTCGTCTACAGTCGGGGTCATTGTGGTCGCGGGTGGTGATCGAAGTTGCTTCGTAGCGAGCGCATGTCAGTCGTGTTTTGAGGTCTTTTCGTTGCATACCACTATCGGAGCTCTGAGCGGTTATCTAGCCCGTATAGCTGGCAGTATGGACAGCTAGATGGGCGATAATATCACCGTCGCCAACCAGCTTTTCCCGGTGCTGGAAGAGGAGCTGAGCAGTGAGCGGTGATGTCACGAGATGTCATCTTCACGTGATGCTGTCTTGGCGATCAGATCGGCTGCTTCCTTGGCACAGGCCAGAGTTGACATCAGCTTTCCGACATTGACAGAACAGCTTGAGGGGAGGGAGAAAATTCCTAGGGGGCATTCTTTTTGGTCACGGCATGCTTTCCGCCTGCAATGAGTTTGCTAATGATCTTACAACAGGAATAACAGGTGTCTCACTGGTATCCCCTTGTTCCATCTCGGCCCAGCCTAAGCGCGGCTAGACATCCGCGAGAAGGATTCAAATAAGCAGGGGGATTGCGGCGAAGAGCAAAATTGGTAGGCTTTATTTTACGAATAAGAGGTGCCTTGGTCAACACAAACCCGACCGCCCGCAGATGTCAATCCAAAGAGCACGTCCGACAAGGAAGTAGAATGCACAGACGTCACGAACATCACAACCCCGCTTCTTCAGTCCCAAGATCCAAAAATCCAACATTCGGGAAGATGGCCGAGTGGTTATGGCGCTACGTTCAGGTCTTGGCAGCGATTCAATCGCTCTGGGTATCGTAGTAGGGCAACCTGCGTGGGTTCGAGTCCCACTCTTCTCAACATCTTTTTTTGCTGGCGATGGATATTATCAGACCAACGGGTGGTCAGCGCACACGCTGCCAGCTGGACGGGCATCACTGACCGCCTCTGCTCTTCCAAGGTTGTACATGCAACAGTGCCCATGACTGGGATTTTTTTTGTGGTGCTCAACTATATATAGTCATTTTGGTATGGAAGATTTCCCCACTTAAGAGCATGGGATATTCCTGTGGCGGAAGAAACCTCCATGCTGGGCTATGATTATTCCCTACATCAGCAAAACGCCAAACAAAGCCTCCTCTCTTGTTGAAGATGTCTTCCTCGCTGCCGTCATATTTCTGATACTGTATCTCTCGCCATGGTCAAAGTTTTCGGCGCCAAGCATCGAACACGTCAAATGTGGTTAGTGTGGGGGAGATGTGGTGGCCAATCAGCATCTAGCGGATAGGTCACGGGATACGCTAATGCGAAAGAAGCAAAACCAAAACAAACACAACCTCAGCCCACATCAACAACAATATCACCGCTCCACGAATCAGAGCATCTCTTATCGAGGGTGCTTGGCTGCTGAGTTGTTCCGTTGGAGCGCAGAATGGGGCCATGCATCGTCCACGCACTCCGCAAATCCCCTTCAGCGGAAACAGTGGATAATCAAGAGCGGGAGCCGCTCGATATCAAAAACACGAACCATGGTGCAATGCATTCAAAGCGCACGAAAAGGGCCTCCACAAGTGCCGATTCGCTGCCCAATCCACGGTTGAGAAAGACCGACTTGACTCGAACGCTGCCTTAGAAGTTAGACCCCAGTGATTGGTTGTACTCGCTGCGAACGCGGGGAGAAAACGGAAAATGTAAACAAACAGAGGCCCCTAGTTTCTGCCTGATGGCATCCTTGAGGGCTCCCAATTGGGTGAATTAAAATATATCACCGTGATAGCGTGGCATGGAGGTGAAGAGAGAGGAAGGCCAGAGAGATAAATAGCTGGACGTGAATGCCACAACGTTGCTCTTGAGCAAGGGAGCTGGAAAGAAAACAATTCCATGGACTCCGCATCGTAATTTTTCCCGTTAGCCCAAAAGGACAAAGCCGCAAGTGTCATTGCCATTGAATAATTGCTTTTTCCAGCGCCGTCTTCTGTCGGGATCTTTCTCCTTCGCTGGGCCCCGTTGAGCAAAAGTTTCCCGGGCGACTGGATCTGGCGTGCAGGGAGCTTGCGGAGAGACAACGGCTTCTTCCGCCGCAAATCTGACCAGGGAGTTTGATATTGGACACGCACAAAATAACACGCCTGTCCTATTACTTTTTTTTTCCTTTCGCCTTTTTATTCTTAACCGTCTCTCTGTTTTCTCGCCCACGAAACGCAGAGACCAACGTTACCCCGTTATCGATTACTCTGTCACTCCTGTCACACCGTGCTGCGGGTGTGGCCCGCCTGGTTCCTGGTTCCGTCTGCCATTTTTCAGTGCTGTGCTCCCCTGGGTTTCAATCTTGTCTCTTCTCCAGGTTCGTATATTCTCTCTGGCTTCTTCGTCTGTCTATCTACATTACGTGTCTTGGGAGATCATGGCAGCTTACAACTTGGCTCATAGTGCCTGTCTGTTGCCATTCAGCTTGCACCCAGCCCTGATCCTCCTCACTCTTCCAACCCACAAAAACAGTGCTCCGCCCCCCGAGCAACTATTCTCATAAATCCCACTCGTCCCCCCAATTGCGGCTAATCCAGCCTCGATTCGAACTACAGATACTGTGTCTCGATCTGCTGGCGGGAATTACATGCCCCCCGCGGAACCACCAGCACAAGGAATTGGGGCCTAAGCGCCGCCCAATGTCCCTATGATCATGAAGCAGCTGTCCATTTCTTTTGCATTTCGATTGATACGGCTTTCGTCAACGCCATAGGAAGGACTGGAGGGAATAGTATTTGCGTGTACAAAGTTCTCACTCCTCGACATAAACGCACAAACACAATCTCTCTTTTTTATACGTTCTTGATCCAGCTCAGCCGCCTCGATGGATGGCCCACCGCCCCCTCCGCCACCCCATGGGAGCAACCCAGGCACCGCACCACCGCCCAACGCAAACGGCGGATATCGAAAATCAACAGACCTTCCCGAGGGACCATACGATATTTTTATCATCCCACCCCACTCCTCAGGTTCCGGGTTCCTATATCTGCCATCACTGCAGTGCCATAGAAACAGTTTTTTGGCTGGCGTTGCGACCACTTTGTTGGGTGTGGCGTTATATATCTGGGTCTTGCCCGTCGTGAAAGCATGGGTTTCGACAGTTGCCCAGAGTGGTGGAATGGGGGTTTTCATGATGATGATCGCGGTGGGAGTTGGTAGCTGGGCATGGGGGAAATATCAAACTGAAGCAAGCAGCGGCACGTCGTCGCCCCGGGGTACGCCCAGACCTGGCCCGGCGGGTGGATCTGGTCCCCGCGGCCCGCCTCCGGACCCTCCTCCAACTTCGGGTCCTAATAACCACAATGGTGGCGGGCCTCACTACCAAAACTTCCGTGGCCAGTACCCAGGTGGAACCTATGGCGATGGACCAAATCCCGGTACGCAATATGGAGGTGGTGCGTTCCCTGGCGGCCAGTATCCTCCCGGTGGCCACCAGTACACGCAGTCGCAAAACGATGGCCCACCACCCTCTCCCAATCCTCCTCCTCCAAATCCGCCAAATCCGCCGCCAAACTCGCCTCCGCCAAAACCCTCCGCCGGTGCGACCCCTGACAAGAAAGATCAGGACTGGGAAAAAGCCCGGGAAGAAACGAAACGGAAGGAAGACATAAGACGGAAGATGGAAGAATTCCGAAAAAAGAGAGAGGAGGAAGAAAAGGAGAAACAGAGACAACGAGAAAAGGAGGCCCGAGAGAGGGAGTTCCGTGAGAGAAAGGAGAAAAGGGAAAAGGAACGACTCGCCAAGGAGGCTGCGGAAAAAGAAGCGGCTGAGAAGGCTGCTAAAGAAAAGGCCAGGGCCGAAGCTGCTGCTAGATTCGCAGCTGCCAGGGAGGCTGCAGCAGCAAAGAGGGCCGCTGACAAGGCCGCGGCAGAGAAATCCGCAGCGGACAAAGCTGCTGCTGATAAGGCCGCTGCAGATAAAGCCGCCGCTGAGAAACTGGCTGCAGAGAAACTCGCAGCTGAGAAACTCGCCGCTGAAAAGCTGGCAGCGGAGAAAAGGGCGGAATCTCGTAAAGCAGAGTCTGTAAAGACTCCTTCGCAGCCACGGACGCCTTCTCCCCAAAAGAAACCTCCCTTCCCCAGCGCCAAAACAGAACTTGACGATGACGCATACTCCTTCCGCCCCTACGATAGACCCAGGTCGAATATCAATAAGCAACCATCCGCCCCCTCCGTCTTCTCCGAGTCATCCTACGCCCCTTCACAGTCGACAGCACGAACTACTCCGCCACCCTCTCGACGAGGACCGTACTCCACGAAGGATCCCGATAAGGTTATTATCGCCGGTGTATATTTATTCAACAACACATTTATGAGAACCCCCGTTGGGCAATTGGTGTCAGGCAAGGGATCAGTGACCGATGGGCTGATCCTCCGCATCACTACAGAGGGAATGTTTGTAGATGACGATGTTAGAGGCGTCCCACAGCGCGAATGGGACGTCAAGGCTTGGACTATGAAGCTTGTAGAGGTATGGTGTCCCCTAATCGGTGCGAATCCACCCCCTCGCCAAAGCCCGACGAAGACCAATCCCTTCCGGTTCAGCTCTTCATACGCGCACAAGGCTCCCAGCAGCGAGGAGTCCGACGCGTGTCTTGCAAACCTGCATAGGTGCTGCAAAAACCAGTGCCGGCTAGGGGCTGCGTCTTCCGGACTAGGCGGAAATGGCAGTATCATTGATGGAAACAAATTCCAGAGCGCCGAATTGCGTGGCTTGCATGTCGTCCGTGCAAGTCTAAGAGATCAGGAAGGCAAGAAATACGTATTCGTCTTGGACGAAACTGAGGCGTGGAAAGTGGCCATCGGGCTGCAGAGGCTGAGGAAGGGCAGCCAGGTTCGTGCATTGGGTGTCTGTGGCATGCCTGCCAATGAAACTAGTGCTGTCCTTGAGAGCCTAGGATATACCTGAACCGGGACGGGCCTTGTGGGAAAGGGATGACTTCATAGTGAAGGAAAGGTACAACATGCTCCCCGAATAGCCATCCATCAAACCGTATAAAAAGTCACAAGCTAACCCTGCCAATCTGAAGGGTCAGTCTCCCCGCGCGTGGTTCATCACCCCGACCTCATGCCACTCCCATCTCACAACTTATTCTTCATATACATTGTTTTCAATTCTTGTTTTTATTTCCTCATATGTTTTTGATTATTTTTCTCAGCCCATGACACCCAAACATGCATCTCTCAGGTCATTTAGCGATGGAGTTTAGAGGCATAAACCATTCACTCAGTCATTCAACGTTGCTTTTATTTTCACCGGTTTTGTTTCAAAGGTTACCTAGTCATCCCCCTCCTTGATGTTTTTGCAATATCTAGAGCCCTATGGTCCATTCAAGTTTTGCCTGCGTTTTTCTACCTCCCCCATCTGTTTCCATGTCGAGCACATTTAAGTCTCTTGTATATTTTGGACAAGCATGCAACAGCAAAGACCTACCTACCCAAAACCTAGAGCCCTGCATACGTTGGAATGTTGGTCTGGGCATATCACCGTGGCGCTGTACATACATTTGGAATAATGCTTTGGAAATGGTTCATTTTTAGCCATTCTACATTCTGGATCTAATTATTCCCACGTTCGTCAAGTATGGCCCATACGGGCATTTATGCTTCACATCAATTCCACTATCGTCAGCAGGTAGGGAAACGAACGGAGCTTGTTTCCAAATGATACCAAAGGCCGCAACCAGCACCGTGCATAAATCCAGGTACTCCCATTCGGCAAAACGGGAGACCCAAAAATGCACGTCTAGCCTCGAATCCCCTGGTCTGGTCCACTATTTCAGTCCATCCATCACACATAAAACTTAAACAACTCAAAAATGAACACAGAGAT